TTCCTTCCTCCCTCCCTCCCTCCCTCCCTCCCTTCCTTTTAAATGTTAATTTACTTTTTTAAGAGACAGCTTGAGCACCAGCTGAGGTAGGGGCAGAGAGAGAGGGAGGGACACACAGAATCCCAAGCAGGCTCCAGGCTCTGAGCTGTCAGCACAGAGCCCGATGCAGGGCTTGAACTCACGAACCGTGAGATCATGACCTGAGCCGAAGTCAGATACTCCACTGACCAAGGCACTCAGGTGACCCCAAACCCAGGGCTTTCTGACACCAAGCCCCCAGGGAGCTTAATACTGTGCTACAGAGCCTGCTGCTTCCAAGAAATTTCCTTCTCTCCCTTCAACAAGGCCTTCTTTGCATCTCAGCCAGCGGAATACATTTCTGTTCTGCCCCGCAGGGCACTCTAGGCAGAGAGGAGAAATGCAAAAGCACAAAGGAACAAAAGCATAAAGAAGACGTGGGGATGAGCACCGGGACCTGTAACTGACAGGGAGGGAGCTTCATAATCCTTCGTGTCTAGAACAGGGATCTCCATGGCGGCCGGAGCAAGGGTGCCATTCTGCTACCCTGCCCCAGGGGACACTGGGCAATGCTGGAGACATCTCTGGTTGTCACAGCTTGAGGGAATCCCACTGGCACCTAGAGGGAGCAGCCAGAGACGCTGTCCCACCTCCTGCAGAGGAAGGCCTCCCACCTGAGATGTGGGGCCCAAATGTCAACAGTGCCAACGGTGAGAAACGCTGGTGTGGAAAATCTGTAGCTTGGAGACTTTGGCCGTGGTCACTCTCGCAGGTCCCCTTCTTTGTCCTCTCTCGCCTTCCCAGGCCCCCATGTACCCAACACGGTCCCTGCCCAAACTCGGCTCCTGCGGTAGGTGGGCAGCGGCTTTCTTCCGTGCTGGCCCCGTTCCCGGGTTCCTGATTTACTTCACATGTTCAGGTCTAGTTGGTCAATGGCGGCTTACAGAACCGTGGCTTCTCCTGTGGGGAAACTATGGCATCTATTTCAACGAAGAGAAAGGCCGCGTGCTTATTTTTATACTATCTCAACCACGTATTCAAACAGCTGCCGCGGGCCTCCCGGGTACAAAGTGCTATGTTAGGCTCTTTGGGATCAAAATAAAACTACCCCTTCATCCACAGAGCTGGTTCCTTTACAGGAGATGGAACCAGAAGCACAAATAACACTGCTCCAGAGCGAGCCACGGGAGAAACCATAAAAGTGGCTCAGACCTTCCAAACACCAAAAGGTTAGAAGAGGGAGTTTGTAGCTAGAAGCTTCCGGGAATGGCATCGGAGCAGGGCCTCCCAGGGCAAACAGAACTTCCAGGTACAGGGAGGGGACAGGAGGGGACAGGAGGGG